CGCGCGCGCGCATGTGTGGTGGCATACATGCCATCATGCCTTGGACTCAGGTCATTAGGCTTAGGAGCAATCATTTTTACCCACTAAGGTATCTCACCAACTCACATTCTGGATTTTTAAATTAAACTGCTCATTTTGAGGTTATTATGGATTAACAGCCAATAATATAAAATATAGATATTACATGCATCCTGCATTCAAATGGTAATATCTTGCAAACTGACAGTATAATATCACAACCAAGATTTTGACATTGACATAATCTATCACTTTTGTTCAGAGTTCCGTAGTTTTACTTGTATTAATCTTGTGTGTAAGTACATGCATGCAGAGTCAGTTCTATGTAATTTTATCATGTGGTGGTTCATGAACCAACTACTACACAGGAGATCATTTTAGTACCCCCCATTTATAACATCAGGCCTTCTTCATTTTTTAAATGATAAGGTAAACAGCGACTAAAATATTTTAAGATCTGTAGTGAGGTAAATCTTCTAGCATCCTATTCACATAACTCTGGAATATGATTCAGGCATTTGTGTCTACTGTTCACTTGAATCCAAAGAAGGAAAGCCTTTTAGGAAGCCCTAGCCCAAGAGACTGGTATAATGTGCCCAGCTTTTCTACTTGGGCTTCTCAATTTTAGGTTTCTTCTTTGTTCTTTAGACTTCCTGTTAAAAGATGATTCAGAGTCCTAAAAGCTACTTGGAACTGTCTTGCTCTCTCTGGAGCTTATCCTATGTGGGGTCCATTGAGCAGCAAATTAAGTACTAACTTGCCTATTGAGAGACTAGAAATAATCTGAGACTATAAATGGAATTGACAAAGGGCTCAGGTAATGAAGATTTCTTTCCAGTCTATTCTTTACTTCCTGTCTCAGAGGGCTAAGGATTCTTTCTGGAGAGGAGGGCCTGGAAGATGCCACTCAGACCTAGTTCCCATGGATGTCACCTTGGCACCTAGTTTGAAACTACATGGAGAGCGATCCTCTCTATCAAGTCAAAGGGACAAGTCACCAGGATCAGTATCAAAGAACTACAATCATTTTTTCTCTCAAAGGTCATTACCTAACTTTTTAGGTTTTAAAATTATTTTGTAGTTGCTGGTTGGTAACTACGTGGCCATATGTCCCTCTTTTGTTGGAATAAAGCAGAATGTTTTGATGTTGTCAATTCATGGTAGGGTTATTCATTAGTATCTTTACATACAAATGTGAAAACTAAGGCACAGATTCATATGGCTAATAAGTACAGTCCTGTATTATCATTTTGGTGGACAAACAAAATGTTCATAAAGGACATACTTCTTTGATTACCTGAGTTTATTTAATTCATTTGAGGTATTTTTTTCTTTTTTATGTGTCATTACAAGGCCACACATGCTCTAAAGAGCCACGTATGGCTTCAGGCCACATACTGGTAACCCCTGCTTCAGGCTCTGATTCCTTTTTCTTACAATTATGACTCTTGCTTGTCTCTAACTTTTGCCTCATTGGAGAAAACTATCTTCCTAAGTGACTGCTAAGAAAAGGAGTTTGTAGAAGGTATAAAAGTATTTCTTTAGCAATCTATAGCTCAAGAAGAAGGTAGGAGAGTGGAAGGCCACCTACCTTTGCTCTCAGAATGAGACTCCTCAAATTCCTCAAAGGGATGCTGCGACAGGAAAGCCTGAGCGGATTCCAGCACAGAGTAGATATAGGGGCCCCTAGACTTGACCTCTTCCATAAAGCCCTGTGAAGTTTAGCAGGGTGGGCAACAGAAAAAGAAAGTCTTTCCATCACTTAAATTTCAGCTGACAGTTAACAACCTTTCTTCTCTTTGGCATTACTGGGTATCTTGTGGTTACTGAGAAAAAAAAAAAGAGGAGCAGTCCTTCCCACAGGCAGAAAAATAATTCTAATGCTCAAAGGTTAATTTCATATGCAATGAGTCTAGCTACACCACAGGGTACAGAAAGAAATGTCAGGTAGATCTTGGCTTTCTGGAAGACTTAGAAAGTCCCCTGTAAGGAGCTTAGAGAAATCGAAAACAGAATTCCAAAAGGACAGTTGGTGGCCCCCTCCAGCTACTGTCTCATCTTTCCCCTTAAAATATGCCCATAATGCTGACTTATAAAACCACCTATTAGTTTTCCCTACTTTTGAACTTTGTAGAAATGGAATAATACAGTACATATTCTTTTTATGTAGCTTTTTCACTTACAGTGTCTATAATTTTTGGCCATGACATAGCATGGAGTTATAGTTGATTTTTCTCTTCTACTTTATATTCATTTTTAAGAAACAATTACTGTAGGGCTGGGTGTGGTGGCTCCTATCTATAATATCAGTACTTGGGAGGCTGAGGGAGACAGACCGCCATGAGGTAGCTTGAGGCCAACCTGAGCTATATAGTGAACTTGAGGTCAGACAAAGCTAAACAGTGAAAACATGTCTTTAAAAAAGCAAAGAAATATTTGTCATTTTCTGACTTTAGAAACGTTATCACAAAAATATTTAAAACTTCATAAAAGTATAAAGAACAAAATTAAAGAGAATTCCAGTTTCATTACTTAGGGTTAAACACTGCTAACATTTTGATGTAGTTTCCTCCTATGACCGTCTATATCTATGCATACACCTATATACATTTTATGCAACTGAGATCCATTATCTGTATGTAGTTTTGCACCCTACGTGCTTTTACTTGATGTCATGTTATGCTCTTTTACACATGCCCCTCTTACAAATCAAGGCAGGGTTTTAAATAGGATGGAAAGACTTGACTCACTCTGTGGAGTGCCAGCCCAGACTAGGACTGCATACCATCTCTTGCTGCTTTAGGTATCTGAGCAGAGCTGAGGGCCTGTCTGTCAGAGTACTGTGAAAGGCTATTCCCTGGTAACAGGCTATACACCACGCACCTATGTTTCTAACTTACCGCATGTGTTTCTTTCTCTTGTTGTACCAGGGCCACATCCCCTTGTAGGGGGAGCTGAGCTGATAACTCCTCATCCTTTTGGCTGAGCCAGTCAATAATCTCTTGGAGCGGGAGCTGAAGCTTTCCACTGTGGTCTGAGAAGGCCTCTAGGCGAGCACTGTACATAACATGTTAAGATCAGTGATTCCATCTTCTTTTTAAGTAGCAAAATATATTTTTCAAACATACCATGCTTATATAGAACTTTAACATATAAAATGGATTCAAAGGAACTGCTTTTGCTGAAGAGGAAGAAGGCCTAGGATCCACCTGTAGATGATGTTCCCAAGGTCCCTCCACATGGAGTACAGTATTAAAAGCAATGGGTTGGACCACAGTTATCTCATACAAAAGTAGTTTAAAACATCACTTTATGGAACTCAGTTACTTCAGTTGTGTGCCCAGTATTGGGCCAGGAAGGGAAAGAAATTGAGCAAGAGCAACTAGGAATGACAGCTATCCCATTCCCTTCTTGCCCTGACAGAATCCAAATTACATCAAACTGCTCAGTTACACAGGCAGCTCTGTGCAGGACAGAGTGCCGTTGATGGAAAGGGTAGAGTGGACAGCTGAGTGTGGAAATGTATATGAGCAAGGATGCACACAAATATCAGCAGCCCAAGGGACCCAGAAGATAGCAAAGGCATTGGATACAAGTTGGAGATACAGAAGAAAAAAATGTATTATATAATCTTCTCTGTCTCCAACTCCCAAATGAAATATGAGCTGCAGGCCAATGGTGGGAAGTTGGAGGCTGGACAAGGCTTTGTGCAGTTATTCAGCCCATTTCCTTCAGTTGGCAATAACAACTATCTTTGTTCCTTGCTTCCAGATACCTGGGAAAAACCATTTTTCTAAATTATTGTGTCAACTATTTCTTTTTAATAATATTTTACTTATTATTATTTTATGTGTATGAGTGTTATGCCTGCATGTAGGTAGGTGCATTCGTGTCATGCAGTGCCCACAGAGGTCAGAAGAGGGCGCCAGATCCCCTTGAACCAAGGGGATCTGCAAGAGCAGCCAGTGCTCTCAACTGCTGAGCCATCTCTCCAGCCCATGGCCCATGTGTCAACTATTTCTTGCAGCAACCTTATGGGATAGGCATTATTATTGCCCAGATAGTTTATTTTGTCCTTGATCACACAGTTAAGTGACTGGCAGATCTATGATTTGAAACCAGGTTTATGTGACTCCAGGACCTGCCTTCTTTCTGCTCTTCTACACTGCCTCACCCCATTACAGACCATCAGAAGTCATGAGTTTGGACTTGGATGATAAGGTATGGCGATTTAAAAAAAACATAAGACACAGAGCTGGGTGTGGTGGTGCACCCATTTAGTTCCAGCACTCAGGAGGCAAAGGCAGGTGGATCTTTGTGAGATACAGGCCAGCCTGGTCTACACAGCAAGTGCCAGGCCAGCTGGGGCTACAGGGAGACCCTGTCTCAAAAAGACCAAAAATAAATAAATAAATAAATAAATAAATAATACAGAGAGAAGGGTAGAAAGAAAACAACATACAGAAATTGCCTTCAGCTCTTACTGCATTGCCCTTAGCAATGGGCTAGAGATGTAGTCCAGTTGGTATAGTGCTTGCCTAGCATGCATGAAGCCCTGGGTTTGATTCCCATGACCTTATAAACTAGATGCGATGGTGTACACCTGTAATCCCAGTACTCAAGAGGTAGAAATAGGAAGATCAGAAGTTCTAGGTCATCCTTAGTTACATAGTGAGTTTAAGGACAGCCTGAGATATATTAGACCTAGTCTATAAATAAATAAATAAATAAATAAATAAATAAATAGAATGAAT